CACGTTCTGGGCAAGTCACGGAACTGGAATCCAACCACGGACTCCAAGGTGTAGTTAAAAGGTTATTATATTCCTGGGAAGCATGGCCATGTTCCCGTGGGGACTGTCGCTACAGATCATTTAAAGGAAGGACAGAACAGAGCAGATCACGGGGGCAGGTGTTCAAACGTCTCAAGTGCCATCGACCCGCTTCCCCCGCGCACCGCTCAGGGCCGGCGCGCTGCCCGGTGGCGGTGCTTTGCTCAAGGCCCCTCTGCCCCACACCCTGAAGACACGCCTGATCTCTTTTCGCATATTGTGTCCCGGCTTCTGCAGCTGAGCCCCAGCCCCGCAGGGGGACCTGGGCCGTGTCTCCAGGCAGAGCAGGCCGCGTGCCCAAGAGCATGCTGCTTCCTGCCGCTTGGGTTCGTGTGGCCTGATCGCTCGCTCAGAAAACCCTTCCCAAAACCCCCCCAGCGAGGAGAGGGTCCTGGGGCAGTGGTCGGCAAACTCATCAGTCCACAGAGCCAACTATCAACAGCACAACGATTAACATTTCTTTTTCTTTTTTAAACATATATTTTATTGATTTTTTTTTTACAGAGAGGAAGAGAGAGGGACAGAGAGTTAGAAACATCGATGAGAGAGAAACATCGACCAGCTGCCTCCTGCACACCCCCTAACTGGGGATGTGCCCGCAACCAAGGTCCATGCCCTTGCCCGGAATCGAACCTGGGACCCCTCAGTCCATCCACACACAGCGCAGGTCAGAAGGCCGGCTCCGGGAGGGCTCTGCTGTGTCTTTGCACGAGCTGGGATCCTGGGTCAGCCCCAGCCAGAGGCCAGCGAGGAGGGAAAGCCTCAGATCCAAGGCTGCAGACTCCTCCTCGGGGTCTGCAGCCGGGAGAAGCGGAGGGAGGATTTCTGTGACAGTCTGTCTGCCGGAGGGGGACGTGCCCACTGCAGGGACCACTTCAGGTCTCAGGCCCAAACCCTGCCCTGGCTTCGCGGGATTAGGGGTCGGATTTAAGGGGCTTTTCTGTTCCAGGGACATTTCACAGGAAGTTCCCTACTTTTCCCCAAGTGCAACGCTCTTGAATTCTAATGAGATATTTCCTTCCTTTGTTCTCTGAAAGCTGAATTCAAAGCGCGACCTTCTCTGTGCTTCCATACCCAGTTGGATAATCTGGGGCACTCGAGCCTCTCAGTGTTCAGAGGGAATCTGCTCTGCTTTAACCTGCCCACCTCTTCGCCCCCAGGAGCGGGGGCTGGGACCCCGCAGGCTGACGGGTTCCCCGGCTGGCTGTGTGTCGAAAACGGTTGTGTTTGATTTCAGTAACAGGAAAACCTCATTTTTATCAGGAAGTGCCTTCTCAGTGAGCATCCAATGTATAGGACAAGCCGAAACCAGTTTGGCTTGGTAGATAGAGCATCAGCCTTTGGACTGAAGGGTCCCGGGTCCGATTCCGGTCAAGGGCATGTACCTTGGTTGCGGGCACATCCCCATAGGGAGTGTGCAGGAGGCAGCTGATCAATGATTCTCTCTCATTAATATTTCCAACTCTCTCTCGCTCTCCTTTCCTCTCTGTAAAAAAATCAATAAAATATATTTTTTAAAGAGAGAGAGAGAGAGAGAGAGAGAGAGAGAGAGAGAGAGAGAGGAACCCGAGCAAGAGAATTCCTTCGTGCGGAGATTTTAACACCGAGGTTTTAGGCGCCTGCAGTGGCCCCACGGGCTCCGAGCCAGGATCTCTGCTCCCAGAAATGACTGATGGGCAGTAACACCTCCCCCAGGTCCCCCCGACCTCCCTGTGCAGCCTCCACCTCCCCACCACCCCGTCCCTTCCCTTCCCCGGGGATGGCAGGGGAGGGACGGCTGGCTCCCTGGGGAAGGAGCTGGCAGCTTCCTGGGGGAGCCGCCCAGATGGGCATGCGTGGCAGGTCTGGCCTTCCTCTGCCTCCTCTCCTATTAGCACTAATAGCTGGCTGATGGCAGGATTATCGGTTGCACGTCTCAGGGGGACCCTTCCAGTTTAGGAGAAAATGAAAGCTCATGCCCTAAAGGAGCTGGGCGGGGACCCCGAGAATTCCCCCGCTGGTTCCCTTAGTCTCAAGGAATTTTTTTAAATATATTTTATTGATTTTTTTTTTTTTTTTTTTTTTTTTTTTTACAGAGAGAAAGGGAGGGGATAGAGTGATACATCAGTGAGAGAGAAACGTCCATCAGCTGCCTCTTGCACGCCCGCTACCGGGGATGTGCCTGCAACCAAGGTACATGCCCTTGACTGGAATTGAACCTGCGACCCTTCAGTCCCCAGGCCGACGCTCTATCCACTGAGCCACACCAGTTAGGGCCGGCTTGAGGGGTTTTCTCTCTGTGTGCAGGAGAGAGACTTTTAGGGGGAGGGTTTCAGCCGAATATTCACCAGCTTCCACAGCCTGGCCCTGGCTGGATTGCTCAGTGGTTAGAGCTTCAGACTTCAGACCACCACCAAGGAGAATTATTCGATTCTGCAAGGTTTTCTCCGCCGTTCTCACGCGCTACAGATCAGAGTATTCCAGAGAGCAAACCCCGAGGCCCAGCTGGAATCATAGACTGAGAATAGTCTGGACATGAAAGGGACCTAGATATCCCTGCACCCTCCTTATTTTAATGAGGAGACGACGGGCCAGGCAGGGTGTTCCCTCTCCCTGAAGCCCTCCCCGGCCCCGGGCAGCACGCAGGCCTCAGCCGTGGCCCCTGGACCAGCTCGCTGTCAGGTCCTCGTCGCTATGACAACAGTCCTGTCCGGGGTCAGGTCAGGTTAATGCTGTATTATCTTCTGGTTATGGCCTTTGCGATGCTAATTGTTTATGGCAACAGACAGTAGGAAGCCAGGCAGACTTCATTTGGACAGCCGGTGACATTTGACAGAAGTGAGCTGAACAGAGTTTTGGGTCAAAAAGGACCAGGAGTCGAACCTTTTTGATGTGCTGGTTCCAGATCGGGGCCTGAGAACTGACATCTTTCTTTTTTACTCAGAAGGTGGCTTTGTAAAAAGGAGCCTCCTTTCTGGCTTTTATCTATTTTTATTGGGTAGAAGAAGGATGGAGCCGTGGCAGAAAGATGACCAAGCAGTCAGTACATTGAGCATCGTTTATCTTATCATCCTGGAGGGGGGAAAAATCAAACTGGCAATGAAATAAATTTAATAAAGCGAATGGGTATCCTTAAACAAAGACAAATGCTGGAAATGGGAGCCATAAACAAGAAGAGCCGGTGTGTATAAATACCTGCAATTCTGAGAGCTAGCCTCAAATGTGGGGTTACCAGCCTGGCCAGCACAGCTCAGTGGTTGAGCGTTGACCCATGCACCAAAAGGTAGCCGGTTCGATTCCTGGTCATGGAACATGCCCAGATTGGGTTTGGTCCCCGGTTGGGGTGTGTACTGGAGGCAGTTAATCCATGTTTCTCTCTCTCTCTAACCTTCTCCTTTCTCTAAAATCAATACAATGTGAACTCTAGTTAATCTACATAAATGGAAGAGAAAGATGCAAATGGACCATACCTTTGCAGTGCCCACCAGCCAATCAGGAGTGGGTATGCAAATTAACCCAACAAAGATGGCGGGGTAATTTGCATACACAGGCATGCGTGGCTGAGGCGGAATGCTTGCGTCATCGCCATGGAGACAGCACAGGCATTCGTACTGTCCCAGGTGTCCTCCCTGCTTCTTCTCTGCATTCACCGTGTGCCCCCTTTGCTTCCTTCTGCTCAAATCCTCGTCTCTTAAACATTGAGAAACAAGAAAACCACAAATGGCCCCAACCAGTGTGGCTCAGTGGATGGAGCGTCGGCCTGCGGACTGAGGGGGAGTCCCAGGTTCGATTCCGGCCAAGGGCATGTACCTTGGCTGCGGGCACATCCCCAGTTGGGGGGTGTGCAGGAGGCAGATGACGGATGTTTCTCTCTCATCGATGTTTCTAACTCTCTATCCCTCTCCCCTCCTCTCTGTGAAACATCAATAAAATATTTTTTTAATAAAATAAAGAAAACCACAGATGTCATCACATGGCCTCGTTTTTAAAGTCCTCGTTCGATGTTAGGGCGCTCGGGGTTAGGAGTCACAAGAGCTGGGTGTGGAAGGCTGCCCCACGTGCTTGGCCAAGCCAGCTGACGGCAGCATCTTCAGATCCAGCAGCTTTCCTTCCAGCCAGGAGCCCTCACTCTCGGCTCCGTGAGCATTTAGCCGGTGGATCCGAACCGGGCCCCTGGCCAGTGGAGGAGGGCGGAGGGGGCTGGACAGGACCCGTGTTTACACGTTCTCTGACTCTGTGGCCCTCTGGTAATCTCGGCTTAATTGGGTAATGCCTGTGACATGGAAAATTTAGTACTTGGTGAAAAATGGTCATAAAGCGAAAGAGGTAATTTTAGCAAAAGGGAAATAGTGTGTTTCACTTGCGGTGTGAGGATATACACAGGAAAGAGGTGGCTTCCTACAAGCGTGTGATTCTGAAGAAACCTAGGTGGCCGGATACACATTTCAATAGTCATGAGGTTAAGGGTTCAAGGATGTGGTCCGCTGCCCTGGGGGGTGAGGGGACGGGCCGAGGAAACTGGGAGAGGCTTATGATGCCAACCTTGGTCCTGTAAAGAATACAAACCAGCCGAAACCGGTGTGGCTCAGTGGATAGAGCGTCGGCCTGCGGACTGAAGGGTCCCAGGTTCGATTCTGGTCAAGGGCATGGACCTTGGTTGCGGGTACATCCCCTGTAGGGGGTGTGCAAGAGGCAGCTGATTGATGATTCTCTCTCATGGATGTTTCTAACTCTCTATCCCTCTCTCTTCCTCTCTGTAAAGAATCAATAAAATATATAATTTTTTAAATGGGGCTCTCCAAAGAAATGTCAGCCGTTGTGCTGTTGATATTTGGCTCTGTGGACTAATGAATTTGCTGACCACTGAGCTACACCCCTGCCCCCAAATATATTTTTTAATAAAATAGAACACATGATCTTTTGTAACATGCATAGAGACAGAAAACTCCATTCAACTTGCACTTGTGCTTTCAGAACCCCCGAAGCCTCGCCCGGAGCCGCGGTCTGAGCTCTTCCCGGCGGGCTGGACGATGCGGCGGCGCCTTCCCGGGCCTGACCACACCTCCACGCTCGGCTCCTGGCGCAGGGAAGCCCGAGGTACGGTGCCGACAGACCGGGGTCCCCGGGGCGCAGACAGACCGGGGGGCGCAGACAGAGCGGGGTACCATGGGGCACAGACAGACCGGGGGCCGCAGACAGACCGGGGGGTGCAGACAGAGCGGGGTCCCCGGGGCGCAGACAGACCGGGGGGTGCAGACAGAGCAGGGTACCATGGGGCGCAGACAGACCGGGCACCGCGGGGCACAGACAGACCGGGGGGCGCAGATAGACCGGGGGGCACAGACAGACCGGGCACCACGGGGTGCAGACAGAACGGGGGGCGCAGACAGACCGGGGGGCGCAGACAGACCGGGGGGCGCACACAGACCGGGCACCGCGGGGCGCAGACAGACCGGGGGGCGCACACAGACCGGGCACCGCGGGGCGCAGACAGACCGGGGGGTGCAGACAGACCGGGGTACCATGGGGCGCAGACAGACCGCGGGGCACAGACAGACCGGGGGGTGCCGACAGACCGGGGTCCCCGGGGCGCAGACAGACCAGGGGGTGCCGACAGACCGGGGTCCCCGGGGCGCAGACAGACCAGGGGGTGCCGACAGACCGGGGTCCCCGGGGCGCAGACAGACCAGGGGGTGCCGACAGACCGGGGTCCCCGGGGCGCAGACAGACCGGGGGGTGCAGACAGAGCGGGGTACCATGGGGTGCCGACAGACCGGGGTCCCCGGGGCGCAGACAGACCAGGGGGTGCCGACAGACCGGGGTCCCCGGGGCGCAGACAGACCGGGGGGCGCAGACAGATCGGGGTACCATGGGGCGCAGACAGACCGCGGGGCACAGACAGACCGGGGGGCGCAGACAGACCCGGGTACCATGGGGCGCAGACAGACCGGGCACCGCGGGGCGCAGACAGACCGGGGGGCGCAGACAGAGCGGGGTACCATGGGGCACAGACAGACCGGGCACCGCGGGGCGCAGACAGACCGGGCACCGCGGGGCGCAGACAGACCGGGGGCGCAGACAGACCGGGGGGCGCAGACAGACCGGGGGGTGCACACAGACCGGGGTCCCGCGGGGCGCAGCAGATGGACCGGTGCCGCGGGGGCGCGTTGGGCCGGGCCTTAGAGAGTCGGTGGGAAGTGGAGAAAGGCGCTGTGGTGGGAGGAGAGAGGAGAGCCCGCTGGCGGGTCAGGGATGCTGCAGGTGAGTTCGTGGGAAGGGGTTTCCAGGGAGCAGTGATTTGGGGTGGGGGGTGCCCTGTGCGGCATCTCGGCACTTAGAGGCTTGGAACCTGCCTGGGTGTTTGGGGGCCTGCAGTCCTGTCGTGTTCAGATGTGTTGTAAGAAGAGAAATTTGCCAAAACCGGTTTGGCTCAGTGGATAGAGCATCAGTCTGCAGACTGAAGGGTCCCAGGTTCGATTCCGGTCAAGGGCATGTGCCTTGGTTGCGGGCACATCCCCAGTAGGGGGTGTGCAGGAGGCAGCTGGTCGATGTTTCTGGCTCTCTATCCCTCTCCCTTCCTCTCTGTAAAAAAAAAAAAAAAAAAAAAAAAAATCAATAAAATATATATATTTTTTTTAAAAATAGAAAAATAATCATGTGAGGCCCTGGCTTCCTGTCAGCTACAAGCGGCCACCTGGGTAGCTCAGCTGCCTTTGTGACTTCTCATTGGCGTCCAACGGTATAATTCTGTGCAAAGCACTGTTCACGAGGAAACGTACAATAAAGTTATGCAGATAGTTACTAGGAAAGTGGCACACACACTCATACACATACACGCTCTCACACACACATACACACTCACACACATATATACACACATACACATACGCGCACGCGTGCACACACTCACAGGCACGGGGAAGATCTGCAGCCGTCTCTCCTGGAGAAAAAAAACACAGCATGGCCTACGGCTTGCGCCGATCGATCGGGTGTCTCCGAACGGACCGTACAGTAGGATCCGTAGAGGATCTGCTGAGCGAGGAGCAGGGAGGGGCGTGAGAACGGCCAGAACCGCGGCCTCCGTGGCCCCAGAAACGCTGCCGTTGGCGTTTCCGTGTTTCCCATCGGCCCCTCGTTTGCATGTCTGACAGCGGTGTGTTTCCCAGCCTCCTCAGACCTGCTTCCCCTTGGGAGATCACAACCCCAGAGGAAGGCTCAGGAGAGTGTCTGCCGATCTGAGACCTGGGCAGGGGGCAGGGGGCCGAGGGTAGGGGATAGAGGCAGGGGCAGGGGCAGGGGGCAGGGGGAAGGGGATAGGGGGCAGGGGCAGGGGGCAGCGGGTGTTTCTCCTGGCACAGCCACTGAAATGGCGTGGGAGGAGGAAGCAGGTCCTGTGGGTTGTCAGCGGGCGGGTTCGGCTGGGAAGGTGACGCAGGGCAGCCATGGGCAGCAGAATGAGCATGCGTGAGCAGGTGCAAGGATGCCCGGATGGTGTGTATACACACACACACACACACACACAGGCACGCACGCACACACGCACGCACATGCGCTCGGTCAGTGCCACACAACCCAGTGTTAGAAGAGGAAGAGGCTTGGGCAGGGTTATTTTTTTATTTTTTATTATTTTTCTCCTAGAGGCCCCTTGCAGGAAGATTCTTGCCATAGGGCTTCCTGCTGAGGTCTCCGCTGCTCCGCCTACTTCTCTCCCTTCTCCCTGCCCCGCCTGTTTCTCTCCCTTCTCCCCGCCCCACCTGCTTCTCTCCCTTCTCCCCGCCCCACCTGCTTCTCTCCCTTCTCCCTGCCCCACCTGCTTCTCTCCCTTCTCCCTGCCCCGCCTGCTTCTCTCTCTTCTCCCTGCCCCGCCTGCTTCTCTCTCTTCTCCCTGCCCCGCCTGCTTCTCTCCCTTCTCCCTGCCCCGCCTGCTTCTCTCTCTTCTCCCTGCCCCGCCTGCTTCTCTCTCTTCTCCCTGCCCCGCCTGCTTCTCTCCCTTCTCCCTGCCCCGCCTGCTTCTCTCTCTTCTCCCTGCCCCGCCTGCTTCTCTCTCTTCTCCCTGCCCCACCTGCTTCTCTCCCTTCTCCCTGCCCCGCCTGCTTCTCTCTCTTCTCCCTGCCCCGCCTGCTTCTCTCTCTTCTCCCTGCCCCGCCTGCTTCTCTCCCTTCTCCCCGCCCCACCTGCTTCTCTCCCTTCTCCCTGCCCCACCTGCTTCTCTCCCTTCTCCCTGCCCCGCCTGCTTCTCTCTCTTCTCCCTGCCCCGCCTGCTTCTCTCCCTTCTCCCTGCCCCGCCTGCTTCTCTCCCTTCTCCCTGCCCCACCTGCTTCTCTCTCTTCTCCCTGCCCCGCCTGCTTCTCTCCCTTCTCCCTGCCCCACCTGCTTCTCTCTCTTCTCCCTGCCCCGCCTGCTTCTCTCCCTTCTCCCCGCCCCACCTGCTTCTCTCCCTTCTCCCCGCCCCACCTGCTTCTCTCCCTTCTCCCCGCCCCACCTGCTTCTCTCCCTTCTCCCCGCCCCGCCTGCTTCTCTCCCTTCTCCCCGCCCCACCTGCTTCTCTCCCTTCTCCCTGCCCCGCCTGCTTCTCCCCATCTTCCCTCCCTTCTGCAGTGCTTGGCTTCTTTCCACGCTGTCTTCAGGCTTTGCTCTGGATTTGCCAAGTAACTGCCATCTTGGTTGGGTTCATTTGCACACTCGCCCTGATTGGCTGGTGGGCGTGGCTTGTGGGTGTAGTGAAGGTACGGTCCATTTGCAGGTTTCTCTTTTAGTAGAGAGGATTCTTATCTGTTTAAATATATTTTTATGGATTCCAGAGATGAAGGGAAAGGGGGAGAGAGAGAGAGAGAGAGAGAGAGAGAGAGAGAGAGAGAGAGAGAGAGAGAGAGAGAGAGGGAGAGAGAGAGAGAAAGAGAGAGAGAAACATCATTGAGGAGAGAGAACCGTTGATTGTCTGCCTTCTGCACAGCCTCTACTGGGAACCGAGCCCGCAACCAGGGTATGTGCCTTGATCGAACCCGGGACCCTTCACATACAGAACAGGCCCCTCAGTCCCCTCCATGCCCATCGAAGTCACGGCTGTTCCCAATCCCTCACTCTTCCAGCCTCTATTGCCTGCCTCAAGGCCCATCCTCTGTAATAAAAGGCTAATGTGCAAATTGTCGCCTCGATTGGGAGCTTGACCTGGAGTTCAGCTGGGGGTTGGGCCAGGGGGCAGGGCCTGCGGGCCAACACAGTGAGGGGGGAAACCACCTCGAATCGCAGACACACCTGGAATGAGCCTGCCTTTGGCCTCTTCCCTTGGGCTGCCCTGTAGTTTGTGTCAGTCACCGTGGGGCCGTCCCGTGACGAAAAGGGACGTGTCCATGACAGGCCGGCTCTCAGACCCGAGCGCCAGAGGCGTGGTGACCGAGAATCGGCTCTGAAACTCCTGGAACTTTCGTTTGCATTAACGTCAGCCGTTTGATACCTAATCTGTGTGCGTGTGTGTTCATTTTCCCACGGATAAGAGGGGGGAACTGGCCCTCACCGGTTTGGCTCAGTGGATTGAGCGTCAGCCTGTGGCCGAAAGTGTCCCGGGTTCGGTTCCGGTCAAGGGCGCAGGCCCGGGTTACAGGCTCCATCCCCAGTAGGGCATGTACCTTGGTGGCAGGCACATCCCCAATGGGGGGTGTGCAAGAGGCAGCTGATGGATGATTCTCTCTCATTGACATTTCTAACTCTCTCTCCCTTTCCCTTCCTCTCTGTAAAAAAATCAATAAAATATATAAAAAATATTTTTTTAAATGTTTTAAAAATAATAATTATCCTCCTGGCCTTCCATCGGTGGGTTTTATCGTTTCGTTGAGAGAATAGGGTCTATAGGTGGGCCCGATCCTAAAGATGGCCTTGCTTGGCATTGACCTGCCAATGTTTGGACATCATCCTGTTTGCAGCGACCACCTTCGGCACGCATCTGCTCCACTGTGAGCATGACGCCCGTCCGTCGGGACGCAGGGGGAGGGGGAAGAGGATCTCCCAGGAGAAGAGAGGCTTGGAGATGTGAATGGAAAATGTCGCCTCTGTTTAGCATGAATGAGCCTGGGATTTAAATAGCATTCTTCGGGCCAGAT